TTACTGAGTCATGAACTGGGAGGGTTGTAGGCTCCAATTTGCCTGGGTGGTCCTATGGTACTAACTGCCTTCCAGAACAGAGGAGGCCAGGTCCAGGGGCAGGCAGACTTGAACGTGGGTGGAGGAGATATTCAGGGAGGTCGCCAGGGTAAGGATGAGTGTAGGAAGGCCCTGGATCCCTGGGGTCAGGAGGCCCCACATGGAGGTGGGATGAGGGCCCCAACTTTGCTTTCTTCAGAGTTTGCCCCCAGGGGCCTGGCCCAGGCTGCAAGGTGGAATTTCCAGGGATTTCCAGAGATGCTTTGCCCTCAGAGGGCCAGGGCCAGCTTGGGCGCCATCTTTGGTTTTATCACCGGGGCGTTCCCTCCATCAACACGGATTTCAGTCCTGCACCTCCATAGACGCTCCTTTCCTTCTCCTGATCCTCTTCCCTATATTTTGTATCTATGTGTGTACGTTGTCTTTCCATCCTTGCCTTCATATCCCCAGGGCCTAGCACAGGGCTTGATACGTAGTAGACCTGTCAGTTGCTATGGCCAAAATGATGCTGGTACCTAGCCTTTCTGAACTCTGGTGGCCTGGCCCACAGAAGTACAGACCGCAGCTGGCCAGAACCCGGAGCTTTTCCAGCGCGGTCTCTGCCACCCTGGCATGATCTTCAAGCATCAATTAAAAAGTAAGCATTTATTAAGTACCTACTACACGCTAGGTGGTGGAGATCCAAATGATAAACAGTTCTTGCCCTCATGGAACATGTTCTGTCAGAGGAAACATCACAACCACATAGGAATAAGTTCATCCCAGAGGAGAGCAGAAATATGTTCCAAAGTCCACGATGGACATGGTGGTGGTGGTTTACCTTCCACGGAGGGCGAGCTCAGCTTCATCTTCCCTGCCCCTGACCTGTGGCCAGCGCTGCTCTTCAGTATGTGTCTGGAGACCTGATCCAGTCTTTACCGACTGCCTTGAGCTCAGGTAACCTGGAGCCTCTTCTTCAGTCCCTGGCCTCCATGTGGCCATTCACACTCCCTCCAGCACTCAAGATCCCACCTTTCTATCTCCGACCTATTTGTAATTTTCTTGCTATTTCTATCCTTTTCTGCTTCTCAAGCCACAGTTGAGGTCTCAGATTGAGCTTCCTTGGGCACAAATCCATGAGCCAAGCTGCAGCAGAGACTGTTGACCTTCTGGTGTCAGATCTCTGAGGACGACTGACCTGGCTCAGTTGAGGTAGACCAGCAGGCTCCGTAGTAGGGGCTTATCCTACTATTTGCAGATAAGAAAATAATACTGACATAAGCCATGATTGAAATCTGGATCCTGGGGATGATGCATGAAGCACACTTGGAAAGAAAAGAGAGCAGACCCCTCAGAGATACAGGAGTGGGGCCTGTGGTCCTACCAGACAGGAGCACTACCAGCACAGTCTGGGTTAGCAGCCGTACTCTGAGCGTCTCAGGGAGTTGAGACAATGAATTACACCAAGGTGATAGGAAGCATATGGTGGGAGCCATCTGCTGGTCCCTGACCTGGGGTCTGACTTACATTTTGCTAACTAGTGGAGCCACCCCGGACAGAGTTCTGCCTCTTGGGGCCCTTATTACCAGCTGCTGCTGCTTCCATAACTTTCCAGGGATTTGGAAGAGGTGGAGGACCCAGAGTGAAACAGTTGAACTGGGTGTGTTTTCAACAGCACTACCAGTGTGGAGGCCTCAGTTTCTTCCTCTGTAATATGAGAATAATAATTTACCCAGTGATGGAGTTGCCAATGATGGAAAGTGTCAGCTGTGTTCTTTCCTTTTCTACTGGGACACTCATTACTCTTCTTTATTCCAGTTGTCAACCATGGTCATGGAAGACTTGTCCTGAACGTTTCCAAGTGATAAAGATTAGAAGGCAGTGGTTACAGATTATAGCCTCAAGAGGCTATTGAGAGAGGGGCCTATGAAAGACAAGCTTGTCCTCCTAATGTGCATAAGACATTATTCGATCGGGGGCAAGTCAGAAGGAGACAATGGGACTTTCACATCCTAATGACCATGATGTCCTTCTGTATTTTAGGTGGTGAAAGCAGGAGCAGAAATGTGGAACCCCAATCCAGGTATGGCTTCAAACATCTACCTCCTCTTACCTGTGTAAGGGCCACGTGGTTCTTATAGGGATGTAGCACACGATTAAAAGTTGGCAAAATTCGGGGAGATCAGGTAGGTCTATGACCAGTGGTTTTGGGGTACCATAGGGAAGACCCTCCGTGAGCTGGTAAGGAATTGCTTTTTATAATTTCCACCAAATGACAGACAGATGATGATGTACTCTAGTGCAGAATAGTGGTTAGACAATGGCCTTGGAGTCCAGAAGAACTGAGTTCAAGTCACATCTCTGACACCTTTTAGCTGTATGACTTTGGGAAAGTCCTTTGATCTCCCATTTCCTCAGGCAACTCTCTAAGGCAGAAGCTTCTGTATATGTCCTAGACCCACCTGGGCAGTCTGGGGAAGCCTGTGGACCCTTCTTAGAATTGTTTCTTTTAAACAATTGAAGGAAAAGCTAGATCTCAGTTAGAGGTCAGTGAAACCAAAGGCAGAGTTGTTTTCCCACCCAAGTTCACAAGCCCCTTCCACTGACCCCCAGGTGAAGAACACCTGCTCTCCTGCTTCTAGCTGTCAAATAAGCAGATCTGTTCCTCACAGGGGGTCCTGTACCCCACTGCAAGGCCATGCCCAGTTCCAAACAGATGGATAACTCTCCATCATTTAGAAAGTAACTTTTGGGGCAGTTAGGTGGCTCAGTGGATAGAGTACCGGCCCTGGAGTCAGGAAGACCTGAGTTCAAATCTAGCCTCAGACACATGATACTTCCTAGCTGTGTGACTCTGGGCAAGTCACTTAACCCCAACTGCCTCAAAAAAAAAAAAAAGGAAAGAAAAAGAAAAAGAAAGTGACTTTCCAGTGATGATCTAGGATCTGGCTTTTCTGAGTCAGCAATGCCATGTTGTCATATTTCCAGGACTTAGGATTTCCTGGGGGTGGGGGAGGAGGGAGTCTTCCCTCTTGCCACCCACACAGATCCCAGCCCCGTTCCTCCCCGCAGGCTCTAGAGCCAGGGGGCATCTCATAGGTCATTTAGCCCAACCCCCTCACTTTTACATATGAGGAAACCGAGGCCCAAGAGGCTAAATGGTTTGCCCAGGGTCACACAGGTAGTAAGTGGCAAGGCAGGTCAGATAATAAACATTTAATAAGGGCCTACTCCATGCACGCACTGCGCTAAGTGCTGGGGATACAAAGAAAACTAAAAGACAGCCCCTGCCCTCAGGGAGCTTACTATCTAAACAGCAAGACAAAAGGCAAACAGCTATGTCGAAACAACCAATAAATGGGATAAATTGGCAGTATTCCACTGAGGGAAGGCCTTAGGCGGGATCTTAGCTTTGGAACCAGGGTCTTCTCTGAATCCTGTTGTGACAAGCTGCCTTTCACCGATAGTCTTCCATGGTGGCCGTGCTGGCGGGCACCCTCTTTACCTTGGCCGGTCCTTTGGCAGCCCGCATAAGCCAGTCCATCCTCAGGCTTACAGTTGGAGTCTTTCCAGCCAGAGAGAGCCTTCCAGAGCCAGGCTCCAGGGGCATCAGCCCTGAGGACCCAGCGTCCCCTGCCCCGCGCCAGGAGGTAGTGAGGGGGTGAATGGATAGGATAGAGGACACACATTGTCCATCGTGGAAGTAGACGTCCTCTTGAAGCCTGAGGATGTTGGGCGTGAAGGCCAAACGTTCTTCTCTGTCCTCTGTGGCACGTGGCTTGTTTGGCCTCCAACCACTGGTGCAGGAAGATTGGGTGGTCCAGCCTCGCTTAGAGGTCTACGTGGTTCAGCTGGGCCTCATTTTACTGACAAGGAAATGGATGACATGACTTACTTTCTACCACCTAGCCAGTAAGTGGTGGTCAGAACTCGAACCCGGATCTTCTGACTCCATAACCATTGCTCTTTTCATTGTGCTGTGTCATTTCTACAGGGAACAGAATTCTTTTCTGTGGGCCTTTGTGGATGAGTGAACGGACTCATTCCTCAAACCTCATCTATTATTTTATTTTTAACACCATTGCTTATTAAGGGAGCAGCGTGGCACAGCTGCGGAGTCACAGGACCTGGCTTCGCATCCTCCTTCTGACGACTTTGCACCTGTGTGGTCTTGGGAACGTCTCTTTCCCTGCCTGGGCCTCAGTTTCCTCACCTGTAAAATGAGGAGGTTGCATGCATTCGGTGGCCTCCGAGCTCGCTTCCAGCTCCTACTCTGGGGTCTTAGTGTCTTCTAGGTACATCATCCTGTTGTGGTCAGGAAGAAGGAGACATGAGCCGGGCCTAGACAGGGAGGCTGATGATGCCAAGGGACGATTCCCCAGAGGCTTCCAAAAGCCACCCTCGGTGCCCTGAGGCACGGCAGCCTCCTGTGCCTTTTGTAGTTGATCTCGTGGCTGGGCGTGGCAGGAAGCCTCCTGGACTGGAGACAACACCTCACTGCAAATTTCAGCTTTGCTGCTGACCACCCCTGTGACCTTGGGGTAGCTGAGTGGGTCACCTAGCCCCGGGAAGCCTTGATTTTCTCATCTGGGAGATGCCCTTCTTATCTCATGGGGACATTGTGAAGGACAGCAAAGTCACGTGTGTAAAGGGATTGAGGCTTGTAGGGTCTGAGGATGGAGGGAGCCTTAGAGAAGGGACCTGCCAGGCCAGTCCTGTAAGTTTGCAGATGAGAATACTGAGGCCTCTGAAGGGGAACTGACGTGGTCTGGGTTGTGAAGCCAGGGCCTTTGTGAATTTATTTAGGTGGGAAGAGAAGGAAATTGCAAACTGTCTTACCAGTCTTCTTCTTTTTTTAAAATAGGAACGCCACCCCCAAATGCCCACGTCCCTCCACCCCCGGGGCCGGGTGGGCACCCCCCTCATGGCCACCCCCCTCATGGCCACCACCCTCATGGCCACCCCCCTCATGGCCACCACCATCATGGCCACCCTCCTCATGGCCACCACCCTCATGACCACCACCCACCTGGCCCAGGAATGAGACCAGGAGGACCCGGCTGCCAGCCCCCACCACCTGGTTGCCATCCTCCTCCTCCTCCTCCATTCGGTCATCACTAGCATCACAGACATGGTCCTGGACACCACTGCCATAAGGTGAGCCTCCAGGGTGAGTCAGAGCAGTTCCGACAGAGCTGATAGGAGGCAGGCAATAGAAATATTGTTGCCTTATTTACTGGGAGACTTCATTCCTCAACACATATCTATGAAGCTCCTCCTGGGTGATGGGTAAGGCGAGGATCATTCTTTCCACATGACAGAAGCAGAAGCTTGGAGAGAGGTTCAATAAGGGTCATTTGACCTAGGGGTCCAAGAGCTGTAAGTGTCTGAAATGGGATTAGAAGCCACATCTTCTGGATGCCAGGTCCAAGTACCCTCCCAGCAGGCTCCTCACCCCCCAATGTCCTGTGAGAATGGCGAAAGGCTTCAAGATCATGGCTTGGAGAATGGGGAAGGAGCTGGGGTGGGGGGTGGGGCACATAATGGCCACAGGATCTGAAGGCTGTAGGAATACAGAATGTGCTCCTTCTCCTAAAAAGATGCAGCTTCCCCTGGCTCAAGCGTTCTCTCTGTCTCTGTCTCTCTCTGTCTCTCTCTCTCTGTCTCTCTCTGTCATTCTCTGTCTCTGTCTCTCTCCCCCTGTCTCTCTGCCTCTCTCTCTCCCTCCCTCTGTCTGTCTCTCTCTTTCTCTCCCTCCCTCTGTCTCTCTGGGGCCTCTCTGTTCCCAAGTCCTGAGGCTTTTTTGGTGGTCCCCATCCTCCATGACCCTTCTCCTACAATGGACACTGTTGACCACTCCTTCCTTCTGAATTGCCTCCCT